GCTTTCAAAACAATAGTATTTATCTTTTCTTGTTGTTGTTTATTTTAAACTTAGTTTTCCTCTGGATGAATTTTGGATTTTGTTTTCCTTGCTGGAAGAAATCAGGCCAATCAGGATTTGCCTTCGGAAACGCTTATTTGACACATCTTGTTGTTTAATTGACCCAAATAGTTGAGTAACAACCAAAGGGGTTACTTCAACTCTGATTTGAAATTATTGGCCCCATTTTAACTTTCTGTAATTGAATAAGTTTGAATAAGTTAAAACTGCAAATGCACAATCTGAATGGTGTGACCACTTCCAGATCATCAAAGAATGAAAGCAGTGGCTTTCTGCTTGTCAATCATAATGATTTATGATCATATTGAAAGAAAATTAGTTTGCTTTTAAGCAACTGCACTCCTCTAATTTGCATTGAAAATTGCATTCAAATCACTTGTACGATTACCTTCTGTGCGTAATGTTAACAATTTATTTTAACAACCTAAACCTTGAACTCTGTGCATTCACACCAGGCAGTGTAAGATATGCTACTGAGGAACATAATAGGATATTTAGATAATTCAATACCCCTTATCTGTTTAAATTGCCTGTGAATGAAGTGATTTGCATCTGCTTAATGTACAGGCAAGCACAATCCAGCAAGATTTTTTGAGGGGAGTTCATGGGTGATCAGTCTCTGGTAGAACTTGTATTCCATATATCAGAACTAGTTTAAATATTGCAGCAAAATCCATGTTGAACAATATTACTCGTAGCTAAATAGTTGCTGCATCATTTAACTAAGTCCAGTTCAGTGGGTGAATGGATTGCTACCAAATCTTTAATGAAAGGTTGATACATCATAACAGGTATTAACAAGTATTACTGCTTTGCTAGAATACAGTCCTGAATTCCTCTTTCCTTGGAAGGTAGAAAAAGAACAGCATGAAAGGCCAATCTGCAGATTTCACTCAGTTCTCAGTTTTTCACCAAACTTAGGATTTAGTGCTGTGCTAAATGGCATAGGCTTAATATCAGACCTATATTCTCTGAAGATGAGAGAAATGAGAGGTGATCTCATTGAAACATACAGGATTCTGGAGGGGCATCATGGGGTCGATGCTGAGAGATTGTTTCCTCTTGTCACGAGATCCAAAACATAGGCCAGACTCAGGAAAAGAGCCGATCATTTTGGAAGTGGCAGAGGAAGTAAGTGAAAGGAATCAAAACGGATGGTCTACCTGGCATCAGAAACAACAATGGCAAACTTAATTGTGTCAACTCTGCCAAGTCTTCCTAACTAATGTTTGGGGGACTGTGCCAAAGTTTGGACAAATCTGACTCACAGATAGTCAAGCAATAGCCTGACATGGTCATACTCGTGGCATCATACCTTAGAGACCATGTCCCAGACATCACCATCACCATCACCATCCCTAACTATGTCTATCCCACTGGCAGTTGCCCTAGGAGTTCTCAATATTGACTCTGGAACCCATGAAGTCCACGGCATCAGATCAAACATAGCAAAGGAAACTTCTCACCGATTATTATCTACCACAACACGCTATCAGCTATTAAATCAGTGCCTCTCCACACTAAACATAACTTGGAGGAAACACTGAGGGTGTCAAGGAGCAGAATGTACTCTGTATCAGTGACATCAATGTCCATCACCAAGAGTAGGTCAACATCACCATTACTGACCAAGGCGGTTGAGTTCTGAAGGACATAGGTCACAGTTGCTAACCTGGTAGCTTAGCAGATAATGAAGGAACTAATAAAAAGTAAAAACACTCTACTTTATGCTCATCAATCTGCCTGCCCACTGATGCATCTACCACATCACGTCTTCACATTGACAAATGGGATAGACCTTCAACAGACCTAGCAATTCAAGACTGTGTATATAGGAGGTGCTGTGAGTCATTAGCAGCAGTAGAACTGTAAGACAACATAATCAAAAGCCATACCACCCAGCATATCGTCCACTCCACCATAACATTTAGCCAGGGCAATCAACCTCAGTTCAATGAAAAGCACAGGAGTACGAGCCAAGAGCAGCACCAGGCATTTCTAAGAAAATGAATTGTCACCCTGGTGAAGCTGCAACACTGGAGTACTTGCATTCCAAAAACCACATATAACAGAAAGCGAAGTGATTCCACAACCAACAAATAAGAGGTAGGCTCTGCAGTCATGCCACATCTTGTGGTAAATGGTGGTGTTCGATTAAACAACTCATTGGAGGAGGAAGCTCCATAAATATCCCCCTTCTCAATGATGGTAAAAGGTAAAGCTGAAGCATTTGAAACAATCTTCAGCTAGATGTGGATGATCCATCTTAGCCTCCAGAGATCATCTTATCTTGAGGGTCTTCAGTGGTTTTGATTCAATTGATATGATGTTAAGAGATAGCTGAAGGCACTGGATGCTGCAAAGGCTATGGGCCCTGACAACATTAGAGCAAATGTCCTGAAGACATGTGCTCCAGAACTTCCCACATCCCTAGCTAAGCTATTCCACTTACAACACTTACAAAAGTGAAAATTGTCCAGATACGTCCCATACATATAAAGGAGGACAAATCTAACTTCGCCAATTACTGCCCCATTAGTCTCCACTTGATCATTAGTGAAGTGATGGAAGCTGTCATCAACAGTGCTATCAAGCAACCCCTGTTCAGCAATAACCTGGCACTGCTAGGGACGTTAAGTTCCTGACCTTGTTATAGCCTTGCTTCAAACATGGACAAAAGATCTAAACTCCAGAGGGGAGATGAGAGAGATTGTCCTTAACGTAAACACTGTACTTGACAGACTGTGGTATCAAGAAGCCCTGTCAAAACTAAAGTCAATTGGAATCAGGGCAAAACTCACTGATAGTTGGTCTCATTACCAAGCACAAGGGAAGTTGGTAGTTGTTGGTGGTCAGTCATCTCAACTCCAGAACATTGCTGCTAGAATTCCTCTGTGTCGTTGGCCCAATAATCTTCAGCTATTTCATCGATGATCATCTCTCCATCACAAGTGTGCAGTAGGGATATTTGCTGATGACTACGCAATGTTCAGCTCCATTCACAACTCCTCAGATCCTGATGCACCCCATGTCCAAATGCAGCAAGATCTGGACAATATCAAGGCTTTTGCTGACAATTGCCAAGTAACATTTGCACTTGCGAATGTGCCAGGCAATGACTATCTCCATCAAGAAAGAATCTAACCATTGCCCCTTGTCATTCAATGGCATCAATATTACAGAAATCCCTACTAACAGCATCCTGAAGTTATCACTGATTTGAAACTGAACTGGACTAGATATAGAAATACTATGGCCACAAGAGCAGATCAGAGGAATCCCTGCAGTGAATAACTCTTCTCCTGACTCTGCAGAGCCTGTCCACCATCTACAGGACACAAGTCACCAGTGTGATGGGGTACTCCCCATTAGTTTGGATGACTGCAGCTCCAACAACTCTTAAGTTGTTTGACATCATCCAGGACAAAGTAGCCCATTTGATTGCCACCACATTCACAAACATGAACATCCACCCAAAACTTGTAATGACACAGCAGCAGCAGTGAGTACCATCTACAAGATGCATAGCAGAAATTCACCTCGGTTCCTTAAAGTGCAACTTCCATACTCACAACCACTACCATCTAGAGTGACAGGCAGCAGACACATGGGAACAGCACTACCTGCAAGTTTCTCTCCAAACCGCTCACGTTCCTTTGATGTCACTGGGTCAAAATCCTGGCACTCCTTTCCTAACAGACTGCAGTAGTTAAAGAAGGCAGCTCACCACCACATTCTCACAGGCAGTTCAGATGGACTATAAATGCTAGCCCAGCCAATGTCATCCACATCTCATGAATGAATGAAAAAAAATTACTTTCCTGAAAGGATTAAGAATTTCCAGAATACTCTACCCTAGAATAATGGACACTCTATCACTGAATATTTTTAAAGCTGAAACAGACAGATTTCCTTGTTCTCAGGGAATCAATTGATATGGTTAGTGGGCAGGAACTGGAGTTGAAACTCACAATTGGCCATGATCATATCGAAGGGCAGAGCTAGCTCAACAGCCCCTCTGGTCTACTCCTACTCCTGCTCCTAATTCTTGTGTTTTTGACATTGAGGCAATTCATATTGTCAGACTTGAGTAGAATGAGCTTTGCTCTTTATCTTGACCCTATCAAAAATGACCAAGTGGTCTTAAATAACTCACTAGATTCTCTGCAGAAAATCTGGTATTAGCTGTTGCATGAATATAATTCCATCCATTCCTAATTAAGTAATGAAGCTCACTGGTTTTCTGATATCTCACTTCAAAAAGAAAGTGCTTTGGTTTTTTTTAAGTTAACATATCCCATCCTGCCTCTGTACAAATTCTGACTGGCACTAATTGTCACACTTCTATTACTAGCCAGCAACATGGGAGCCATGGAGTTCCACAAAGACAGTCAACTGATCAGAGTGCCTCTGTCTTAGAACATCTTCTCATGGGATTATATCCGGCACTGTGTTTCACTCCTTCCAAAGCTGACAGTAGTGGTTTTGACAAAGACAGATTAAGTAGCAGGTATAATGATATCTGAGCAACATTATGAGCAGACAATTGAACTTGGCCATCTTGCTTGCCATGACAGCTACAATGCTCCCAGGCGTTTTTAATTAAGTTTGGAGGGCTCACACTTACATTCATCCTTTTACAACCTGAATGTTAAAGAACATTATTGAAATAACACCAAACTATACATAAAAAGAACCCATAAGTTATGAAAATGCTTTGTTCACATAAAAAATGAGTTGCATTGCTGGATCACAAATAATAATATTCTCAGACTGGTCTTGGTATCTCACCCTTCCATAAAAGCAAAGATATAGGAGCATTTATTCTTTGGCGTATTTCACCATTAACTGGAAACAGATTACAATTGCTTTCATTTTCCATGGATCTCAATCAAATAATTACCTTTTCACTTCTTTGGCATCACTTGCAATGAAGAATCCCAATGTGCCTTCATGGATCTTGATGTGGTTCCCAGGATTGATTAGTATGCTACTCAGTGAAAACAGAAAACACCAAATTTCTGTTACCTGCTGCTGAAGAAAAACATTGTCTTGATGGTACGTGAATCAAAGGGAAATAGTGCAAACATTGCCACTGCAATTAAAAACTTTCTTACATGATCTGCACTTTAAGTACATACATTCCGACAGATGACTGTAAATGATTCGATTAATGCTGAAAGGAGCTTGTTTATCAGACCCATAATATTAAGATAAGCGAAGCACCATCTGCTTAAAAACATACACCCTTAAACAAATCTCATTTTCGCTCATTTGAAAGTGTTTGATAACAAAGCAAATCTCAGGCTATTAAATTTAGTCCGGGTGACTTCAGAAGTGCAGTTTAAAGGTCAATTTTCAGGGTGAACATTTTTTGATTTGTAACTGCTGCTTTACTGCTATGGAGAGGTAGTGGTTTTTTTTTGCTGCAGACCTAGTTGTTCCAATTTGCCATTTTTTTGGTTCTATTTTGATTAGGGCTCTGCTTCCTCTTGCTGTTATGATGACATGTTCCCCAACTGACAAGGTCCCAAGAAACCCTGCTGTCAAGCTCTCCCCCATTACTCTTGAGCTGGTTAAGAGAAAGACATGACCTTAAGTGAAATCTTCTCTAGTTTTTATTGAGTGTAACCTCTGATAATATACGTTGTGGTCAGAAATTTGCCACTTGAAAAACTTTTGATAAAATGGTTTAGAAATTGGATGGGAGCATCTGACAGATGAAACAGTTATATTTGAACCAAACAATATTACTTAGGCAGAAAAGATCTTTACAGCAATATTTTGGTGAAATGGACAAGATTCTTCACCGAGTGACCACCATGTATGGATTGAAATTCAGCCCTGAATCCTTAAAGTAAAGCCTTACAAATAATTTACCAGGACAGTTGCTGCAGTGTCAAGCAAAAAAGTTTCACTAGTTTTGTTAGTTCCCCTGTGATTGCAAAACAATGTGTGCTCTGTGTAATATCATTATTGAATTGCAGCTTATCAATAGCTTAAAGTAAGTCATAATTCTTTAAAGGTAATATATATAAAACTGATAACTATTGCACAGCACAGCTGTAAGCTAAATTAGGCAGTTGATCCAAAGGAAAGAGATGGCTGGTATATGTTATCGAGAAGAATCCCAATCTATGTTTAAATAAAGCTTACTTTAATCCCAATTGTTCACAATATATATCCAGCTCTTTCTTCTGGGTGCTTTCACACTACTTGATCTTATATAATTCTACTTTCATATCCAAAGGTTTTGATTACTGGTAGACAAGAAAAAAACATGAAAAAGAAAAGGAGCAATAGAGAAAGCACACTCAAGATAAGGGATCTTCACAAATAAAGCACAGCAAGACCTAACTTGCTTCCAGGGATGAATTCCTTGCAGTTGGTGATTTACAAGTGTCATTGATAGAGGCAAATTCTCACCTCTTGGTTTGCTGGAATTATGCCAGCGTCACCTTTCATAGATACAGGTAAATTCCACAAGGATTCTTCAATATACTGAGGAGAAAACCAGGCATTTTGGTTCTTTTTTAAAAAAACTCTTTGAATTCCCTCTGCCTTGTTCTTAGAATCATTCAGCGACTAGATGCTATTCCTTTGATTTACATTATCCTTGCCTCCTACCGTTTTAAGTATTTCTGGAACCCTGCACAATGGACCTTAGACCCTCACTTTCCTTTCTGAATAATAAAAAACAGCTCAAAGTAAACCTGCTAACATCATTTATTGCAATAATATTTCTAAATGGAATGCTGATTCTGCTTTTAAGTCAAATTTCATTTATCCCAAATATAGAGAAAATATGAAACAGTACAGATCAATGAGCATCAAAGCTAATGAGTTTTCTGGATTTTTTTTGTTCTTCAGTACATTGATCTTTCATTTTAAATTCCACCATTTTCTTGTATGCAGTTTTTATCTTCCTAGCTACTTCCATGTTTGTTTAACGCATTTCCATTTTTCTCACCAAATTACTTTCCTACTTGGGCTTAACGGTCTTTGATTTGTTATTAAGCAAATTATTTAATCCATAGGCCTCCTCTCTGTGATTGGAGCTTCTGATAAATTCTTCTTCACCATTTATTCCCAACCAACTGCACACCACCTCCAAACTTTATTTAGCTGCTTATGTGGCATTTCTCATGTACTTGTTTTTCCACATTTGTTAAAAGCTATTGTTTCACTTCTGGTATAAAACACATTGAATTCTCTACTGTGCAAGCCCTGAATTGTTGGGAAGCTGCGAATATCTTTCGACTTCAAGGAGCTGGTGATTTATTCTAAACAGAATAATTTCACAGCAACTAAAAAAGAAAACTTTTATTTATGTAACACTTTATCATACTGTTGAAAGATCTCAGTGTTTGACACAATGAACCATACTTCAATATGGGACTCATTTGGGCTGGCCTCCAACTGTTGGGAAATAGCCCAGCTTGTAATGATGACCACGTGTTCTAATTGCCTAGTTCATGAAGTGGTTTCGAAAGTTCGAGTCCAGATATGTTCAAATCATGGCATCCAGTTCGTTATTAGCACTTCTAATAGTTTTTGTTTTAAAACGTACTTTACAGTTGATGTTTTTGCTATTCAAATGCATTTGGGCCTTCTTTCTAGCACTGTTGCTAGATGTATCTAAGAATATTAGATTAGAGGATGCTCTATGTAGTTTCTCAAAGAGGAAAAAAAGAATTATGCATTTTAAATCAGACACAGTGGTATGCGTAAAAGCTGCTTCAGGAAAATGATTTGTGCCTCTTGGATTTATAATGAAATTTATCAATAATACCAAGTGATGCATTATATCCATGTAGTAAAAACAAAAAACACTTTTGTGTTATCATTTATACAAAGTCCCTGTATCTTTATCCTGCCATAATTTGTATTGTTGGGTTGAATGGAGCTGTTAAAATACTTGTCTTTTTCATTTAGACCGTCGCACGTATACATTGCACACTGGTATGTGTGCCCCTGTACTCTCATAAGTGTTTCATTCCTTATGAATAGAAATCAGAATTCTGCAGACATCAGATTCAATCTAATATTCAATTGGCATTCTAATTAGATTATAAATTAATAAAAACCAAGTCTCAGTATAGATTTCCATGTATCAGCAAACTATTCACACGGTGCAAGAATGACGTATTAACAGATTAAATTTTAACAAGAAAAATAAAGGAATAATCCCAGGAAGCAAATTTATGTTTGTATAGAATAGAGTTCAGTTAAATGTGGCAATGACATGCTTTCACCACAAACACACACAGAACAACAACTCCAAAAGTAGAGGTACAACCACTGCAAAACACATATGATTGCAGTTAACTGCTAGGTAACTGAATGGCATTGGAAGCCCTCTCACTTTTGTTGTACATATATGACTGCACACAAGCTTGGAGTCAGACAAAGGAAGGAGGTGAGTAGGATAGGGAGAAGAACGGGAATTCATGGGACAAAAAACAGAGAATAAGCAAATAGCTACTAAGTTAGTTGGGTCAGCAATTGAATGCCACTTGAAAAAACAAAAATCATGAAAAAAAAATCAAAGATTAAAATTGGTATCTTTGGGCAAAAAGATATTGCCAAAAATATTAATTTGCTCCATGCATTAATATGTCACTCAATTTCAAGCAAACAGGGGTGGGAGAGGGGCTCAATTGACAAGGGCCTGTCTTTTATAGTGGGCTAGGAGACAATCTGCAAGCTTGCTGAAGCAAGAAAAACCGTAAAGGAATCACAAAAACTGCTTCTGAAAAAATATTTTCATATTTAGTGATTTGACTGTGTAAACACTGAATGTGATCAGTTACCATCAAGGGCATATTAAAATTATCATTGCTAAAAAAAAAGACTCATTAATTAGCTAATGAATCAAATTTTTGACTATTCATTTTTCCCTTTCATTTCAATGAATCCACAAACAACATGAAGTACTGTTCAGATGTACAAAAATCTGAAAACAGACAATGGGTAAGACATCAGTTGAAGATTTTGACAACCAGACAGCATAATAACACCTTGGCTGACTGACATTTATATTACATCATCATGGGGGATGGGGAGGAATAAAACTTTATGCCAGCAAGGTTTAATAGGGTAACAATTCAAGACACAATCTGTGAGACAGCAGAGAACGAAGGACCATCTGGAAAAATATATGTCAACATCAATTTTTCTCGCAAAGAAATTAGTACAAGGACAAGAAACATTTTTTAAAAAAGGATAAATGTTAAATGTTAACTATTTGATGTGTTTTCACATCATCTTGCTGATTTGATGACAGAAAAAAAGGAATAAGCTCTCTAAGAAATATGTCCCAAAGCTGAAAGACTTAAAGAATTAAAGGGAAAGTTCAGATTAGTTGGAAAGCAAATGAAGAGAGCTTTACCGCTTGGCACCTCTGTAAACAACAAGAAAACAATTCAATCAACCACCATAGTCGAAACAAACAACTTGCAACAAAAACAAAGGAAACATTCCAACTTGGCAAACACAAGACAAACAAAGTAGTTTTGTTTCTTTAAGAACATGAACGTGACGAAATGCAAAAAAGGAAACTTAAGTAACAAAAACACAAAGTTTGAACTTTGTAGCATTTTCTCTGTGGCATGAAAGAATTATGCACTCCAACAGATATAGACACGAGTCTTGGTCATTCACTGCTCTGAGGAAGGGTCACTTGACCCGAAACATTAACTCAGATTTCTTTCCACAGACCGGCTGAGCTGTTCCAGCAATTTTTGTTGGTCATTCACTATGCTACTTTGCAAAATTTACGTTTTGCGCCATGGACTTATTTGGCTAGTCAGTGCCCATGATGGTTGTGAGTTTTAATAAACCTTGCCCTCAAACAGCTAATCGAGCTTCCTCATCTTTTCACTCACTTCAAATGAATAAAGGCTGTGTTTTGAGTGTTCTCTATGTGCTCTCAAATTAAACAACATAATTATTCTCTCTGTTAAAATCTTCTGCAAATTTTGAAAAAAAATAACCAATGAATCAGAAAACAGGAGATGCTAGAAATGCTCAGCAGCTTGATTGGCACGTGAAAGAGGAACAGCGATTTCTAATGTGACCTTTCACTATAATTGCTTGGTTAAAACTATACATCCAACCTGTGCATTAAACTACCTTAGATAACAAGGTAGTATCAGAAAATTTTCTGAAGAAGGGTCTAGGCCCGAAACGTCAGCTTTCCTGCTCCTCTGATGCTGCTTGGCCTGCTGTGTTCATCCAGCTCTACACCTTGTTACCCCATTAAACTACCTTGCCTCTTTTAGTTGGATGAGCTGCTGTGCTTCCCCAACATTTTCCTTAAAAAAGTGCCTTAAGATGCCTTTTTTAACATAATTACTTCAAATTTATACTTTGTAAAAGTTTCTATAACACAGAACCAATCAATCATATTTTAATGGAAGAGAGTGGACAGGAAATGTATTTTACATTAAGCTGGCATATAACATCGGACACATATAATGACAGTGAGAGGCTAATTAGACTTGCTAATTAGCATTGGTTGATACATAGTTTTTCATGTGAGCAGTTCATTATGTCTTACTGGTGTCTGATGTATGCAGTATTGAGTAGAAGGTTAATATCACATTTAAATGAAATTAAGATCAGTTACCAGTACAAATACCAAGCAATACTATTCTAGAAAGGTATAAAGTTCTTCAATTGGATATCTTTGAGATTATCTTTTGATAATAAAGATTGCATTTACTTGAGCATTGTGAACCCTTCATTACTGGCAGTGAAAGGAATTACAGTGTTAAGTACATTCAGCCTAATATTCTGTCTATTCAATGAACATAACAGCTTAAGAACTGTAATATACAGACCCTTTAATGACCCTTCTTGCAGAAAATTGGATCTAACATGAATATGAAACACTAATTTGGCCTCACCTACTGCCTTTGAAGGCCTGATAGCTTGGGAATAGAAGCTATCTTGGTCCTTAGCCTAAATGACAATACTGATTTAACTGACCTGTTCTAGTCAGTTTTTTTCAGCACAGTTTAGCACACTTTGGGTAGTGTTTAAGAAATGACATACAGCCAGCAATTTATTTCAACCAGTTTTGCATAATCGGTCGCTGCCAGGCAATATACCCAATTTGAAGGAGCTATTCGAATGATTGTCTCCACTTTAGCACCTAATACATATCCACAGCTGTGAATGGGTATGTAATCTTAGTTCTTTGAGAATCTACAGTGCATATTACGGCTAATTGGGATTAGCATTGAATCAATAATGTTTGCTTAATGCAAATAAGTGGATTAAAGAACAGTTTGCTTAACATGAAGCTGCTTCCATTAAGTGGATTCCACTGTGTTAATGAGTTTAAATCAGCACCATTTATCCCCTTTCACACTTAAGGGCAGCTATATACAGAAATGCATTCACCTTATGAGATGTATCATTCCTTGTTTCCAGTTCAAATCTAATGTTAGGTGAAGTATGCCTGGACTGACTTTTGTATGGTTAAAACTGGTATTGGATGGGATGGAGTGAATTCATAGAGCACATAGATGTTGTCTATCACAGTGACCATTACCCCATTCAAATAGTGAGTGCTGCTGTGCAAGACCTTTCCAATCACGCATGCACCACAAAGGCTGCAAAGCTATCAATGCCTTGATGGCACATTACCATCAATCAAGGTGCCAGTGGGGACTAAATGACTATGTATAGGAAGTAGCTTTGAAATGTAGGGACAGTTCCAATTAAAATTATGCTAAATCAGAAGGATGTTAAGCATCAATAATTAACCTTGCTCAACTCCATCAAGATAATTTTATTGATGAACATGTTTTACTAACTGTGTACTTTCAGAAAGGTCATGATATTCCCACTGGAAATAATGTTAAATCACACTATTAAATTGGTTAATGTCTTTACTTAAGGCTAAGAAGAAACAAGTGGTGGCTCTTAATTACGAACAAAAACAGAAATTGCTGGGAAAACTTAGCAGATCTGGCAGCATCTGTGGAGAGAAATCAGAGTTAACATTTCGTTCCTCAGTTCTGGGCCTGGAATGTTATTTCTGCTTTCTCTCCACAGATGCTGCCAGACCCTGCTAAACTTTTCCAGCAATTTCTGTCTTCATTTTGAGTTCCAGCATCTGCAGTTCTTTTGGTGGCTATTAATTGTCTGAGTTCATGGCAAAGTGGTAATGTCCCAACCTCTGAGTCCAAGTCCTACCTGCTCTGTAGATGTGTCATAAGCACTCTGAATAGGTCAATTAGAAATTATTTGGGCCCTCTTGTCACGCAGTGGTGGTGTCCCTATCCCTGGACTGGGAGGCCCAGGTAAAGTCCCACCTGCTCCAGAGGTGTGTAATTGGTTCTCGAAACAGGTTGAGTAGCAAAACTGGTTAAATGGAAAACCTGTAATGGTTCTTGTGGCAGTAGTGGCATCCTTACCTCTGGGAACCTACAGTCAACTCCTACTGCTTCAGAGGTGTGCAATGACATCTTTGAACAGGTTGATCAGAGAGAGAAGAAAGTACTCACACTTGTAATGGCACTTGCGGCACAGTGCTAGTGTCCCTACCTCTGAGCCAGGAGGCCTATTTTCAAGGTCCACCTGCCCCAGATGTGTGTTGGAACAGGCTGGTTGAAATGTCTACACGCACCGGCACCTATTATGGCTCTTGTGGCACAGTGTTGTGCCCTTACTTCTGAGTCACGAGACCTGGGTTCAAGTCCCACCTGCTCCAGAGGTGTGTAATAACATCTCTGAACAGGTTGATTAGGAAATATAATACACACATCTGTAACATTAGAGGCCGCAGGGAGCTCTAAGACTGAGTAGTCAATAAACTCATCCATAAAGGAAGGTGTCTTATTTTCTGTCTCACTGACTGTCTTCTAATCATATTGACAAATAACTGAGATCAGCCCCAGTATGGAACTACAGATTTCATTGGCTGCAACACTAAAAATATATTACTTTTTATTATTACTCCTTTTATATTCCTATATTGACTATTTTGAAGATAGATTTGGCAGGCTTTTCAAAAGATGTAGGCAGATTAGTAGTGAAATTTTTTTGTGAAAAACGTAACTGATTTAATAGCCACCTGTTGTGTATCAGTTCATACAAGTGAGAGAGCTGGGGTAACAAGTAAACTATGTAGGACAATACTGATAATGACAACAAATCCAACATTCAGTGAGATTAGAAGAAATGTTTAGATATTTGATGTCCTCTTGGTTAACATTATTTAAAGTACTCATGGGTACGATGCTTTATTAACATGACACGAAAATAACTAATTTCTCACACAGTGAGACATCAGGAGAATTAGACATCACAGTACTCATTTCAGTTGTGCAGCTCCATTTTAGTCTGTCTTCAACTCCACCGTCAACTTTGCAACCAATATGGCAAAGTAATTTTTAATCAGCTTTAAATTGTCAATGTGAAATGGGGTTAGAAGATGCTGAGTTTGTATCAATAACTGAATACTTTTGACAACTTTTAGTGTTCTCTTGACCATTTCTTTCCATTTGGAAGAGTTATGAAATTAATATTCACAAGTTACAAGAAAGGCTGTGGTACTCACCTGCTTTCCCTTGTGTCCGATTTGTATTCTATGGCTAACAATAGCAGCTTAAGCTTCACAAAACACAGCCTGTATATGGAAGATAAAGAACCGTCACCTCATGATTACAACTCTGGCAGATAAAACCATTTCAGAAATATACTCTGACAATTAAAAGTTCAAGTTTCCGACATGAGGGAATCATTCTGATCTCATACGAATTCTGTACAGAGTTATAAAAATGATCATTTGGAGAAGCAGGAATCAAAAAGGATTTAAGACAACTCCTGCTCCATTTAGTAACACAATTGTAACTGTACAGATGTGGATGCTCAAACTGTTCCAGTTGCCTCTCCAGAGCTGGTAGAAATAGCCTTCATTGCTCAGACCTTTGAGTATAGAAGTTTGGACGTCATGTTGAAGTTGTACAGGATGCTGGTGAGGCCTCTTCTGGAGTACTGTGCATGGTTCTAGTTGTTCTGTTATAGGAAGGATATTATTAAATTGAAGAGGGTTCCGAAAAGATTAACCAGGACGTTGTTGGGAATGGAGGGCTTGGGTTATAAAAATAGGCTGGATAGGCTGGGATTTTTTTCACTGGAGCATAGGAGGTTGAGGCGTAACCTTGTAGAGGTTTATAAAATCATGAGGGACAGAGATAAGGTGAAAGGCAATGGTCTTTTCCCTAGGGTGAGGGAGTTCAAAACTAGAAGGCATATTTTTCAGGTGAGAGGAGAAAGATTTAAAAAGAATATCAGGGACAACTTTTTTCTTAAACACAGAAGAATGGTACATATGTGGAATGAACTGCGAGAGAAAGTGGTGGATGCAGGTACAGTTACAACATTTAGAAGACATTTGGATAAGTACATGAATAGGAAAGGTTTGGAGAGATATCGACCAAATGCAGGTAAATGGGACTCGTTTAGTTTGGGAACATGATCAGCATGGACTAGTTGGACCAAAGGGTCTGTTTCCATGTTTTGTGACTATGACTCTAAATGGATGACATCATAGATGGGAGAGGTTGGTACATAGTATCACAAAAGGAGGTATGAAAGCGAGAATCAGGACCATGAAGGTGGTATATTCAGGAACTACAAATACTTTGTGCTGTCAATTCTCCAAAATATATTATCCAAGTTTTGTTAAGTAATAGGGAACGGCTTTTGCAGATCAATCGAGAATAAAACGTTATTTCGACTCAGAGCCACATAACGCATATTTCATCAATAATAATGACTGGAGAGTGTGGAGAATCAACCTCAAGGCCAGGCAGTATTATTTGACTATCAAGTCAAAACCAGTGTGTACATCAAGTTGGGAATATACTTAATACACCACCCTGAAATAACTGATTCATTTTGTTTGTACTTTTTTATACTCAGCCCAGACAATTGCACGTAGTTTTTACAAACAGGTAGCCTGTCAGAAATGCTGAACAAACCGCAACTACTTTCTTAACAGAGAATGATTTAAAAGATAAAAGGATGATCCATATAATTTCTGATCATGTACATTAACATTGCTTGTCAATTAACACACACTAAATGTCAAGTAAGAAAATATTTCCCGCTCTGCTCCTATCATCCATCACTTTGTGCTCCTAATTGCAGCCTTTTTATTACATGTACCGAGAAAATAAATTTGAAAATCAATTTTTATTAGTTGTACAATCATTATTAATTAAGCAATAAATATTGAACCCAACTATGAAGAAAAATCAGCGTAAATTAAATTTATAATTTAAGACTTATGTCATTAATGTAATGTTTACAGCTGAACCCACACAAGTTTCATTTTGCACAGAATAAAATTAACTCAAAGGAAATAGAAATAAAACTCAATGGACAATTAATCATCAACTTAAACTGGAAGTCGATCATAATTATTACACATGCTGAAATTTTAACCATCATTGACTGTTTTAAAGTCTTTAAGATGACTACTGTGTTAAAGTACATTGTAACAAAAGCAGGCCATTCAAACCCTCAAATTTAAACCCTCATGGTCGATCATCATCTCAGCTCCATTTACTTTTCTTTGACACACATTCTTTCATTCCTTTGCCAAATATCTGTCAATCTTGTGTTTGAAAATTTCAATTGACCAAACATCAGCAACTTTTTGGAAGATAACATTTTACATGTCCATTACCTCTTGTATGAAAGAGATCTTTCTCATTTCATCAAATTTAACTATAATTTTAGGATTCTGCCCCTACCAGAGAAATGATCTTTTCTCTATCTCTTTCTCTTTCTGTCTATTGATTTATCTTGTTATCTTAAACACTTCAATTTGATGCCCTCTTAACCTTTTAAACTTAAAGCAACATAACATAATACAAAAGTAAATATGTGTAGTCATAATTTAATATTTTATTAGTTGTGAATGAATAGATATATTTCACATTATTTCACGGTTATGGTAATGGTAAACATGGGTGAATGATAATAACTTCCATCAACTGATTTTAATACCTGAGACCTTCTTGGATTAAAGAGACATTTTACAAAAAAGACAAATACTGACCTAAAATGGTTGTCCTGGCTACCTGAACAGTTTGTGCCAAGTTCATTAAACCATCAGTAAATAAGCATCAGTCTGAACCAAAATTAACATCATTACCAAAGGCACTGAACTCAGATTTAGATCTCCTGGTTGAACTGCACCTTTCTGAAAGTACACACTGAAATCAAAGTCACCAGTAAATCATTTGGTTTGGTAAAAAAGGATGCCAGACACCAGAATCCACAAGGAAACTGTATTTCAGGCAGCAGCTTTCATTTCGTAAAGCAGAAAGAAAAAGAAATCTGAATTGAAAACAACAAGGACATTGCAAGCCCCATCTCTCTCAATTTTGCATCAATACCTGTGAATAAAGCAACTTGGGACAACAGCTATTTAACAAGAAATATCTAAATCTAAACCATGTTGCAGCTATATAAAACTCTTGTTAGGCTGCATTTGGAGTATTGTGTACAGTTCTGGTTGCCACGTTACCAGAAGAATGTGGAAGCTTTGGAGAGAGCACAGAGAAGGTTCACCAGGATGCCGCCTGGTCTTGAAGGCATTGGCTCTGTGGAAAGGTTAAAAAGACTAGGATTGTTTTCACTGGAAAGATGGCGGCTGATAGAGGTCTACAAAATTATCAGAGGCATAGATAGGGTGGATAGTAAAAGGCTTTTTCCCAGGGTTGAAGTTTCAATTACAAGGGGGCACAGAATCAAGGTGACAGGGCAAAAGTTTAAGGGAGATGTGCAACGAATGTTTTTCACACAGAGACTGGAAGGAAACTAGAATGCACTGCCAGAGGTGGTGGTGGAAGGAGGCCCATTGGCGACATTTAAGAGACATCTGGATGGTTACACGAATAGGGAGGGAATAGAGGGATACGGACCAAATAAGGGCAGAAGGTTTGTTTTTTCAGTTTAATCAGGCTATGATGATTGGCACAGGGGCCTGTTCCCATGCTGTACTCGTCTTTTGTTCTTGTTCTTCTCAAAATGCAAATCCACAATCAAACAACTGACCTCAAGTTAAAAATCTAACACTTCAAAGACTCTGAGGATTGTTTTAAAAACTGTCAGCTATTCTTCCTCTCTATACCAAATACTCCCTCTTTTTAAAACAAATTACCCATTTTTGCATGTGGGTTTGATTCATATTTTTATTATTTCTTCAGGTTGGTAGATAAAAATGGGCGAGTTGCATAAAGACTGGGTTAACCAAGTCAGTACTAAAGCCGTGGATGAAAAATTCCTGGAGAGTGTATGAGATGGGTTTCTGTCAAAGCATACTGAGAAGCCAATTAGGGATTGGGTAATTTGGATTTGGTCTTGTGTAATGGGAAAGGGCAAATTAATAACTATGTAAAGGAGCCTTTGGGAAGCAGTGAATTTTACATTATAACTGAATGGGACATAATTCATTCTGAAACTATGGTCTTAAATCTGAGCAAAGGAAACTAGTAGATGCAGTGTATTTGGATTTTCAGAAGACTTTTGATCAGGTTCCACACTGCAGGTTAGTAAATAAAATTACAGTGCATGGGACAGGGGTAAAAACTCAAATATGGATTGAGAATTGGTTACCAGATAGAAAGCAGAGAGCAGAAATAGGTGGATCATTCTCAGGATGGCAGGCTGTTACTCATGGGGTACTGCAAGCATCAATGCTAGATCCACAACTAGTCGGATTTGGAATTGGTGACCAATTGTAGTATTTCCAAATTTGCTGATGACACCACATCAGAGGAGAATATAGTTGTGAGCAGTTTTCAAGTAAGCTTCAAGAGGACTTGGATAAGCTAAATGAGTGGCCTAGAAAATGGCAGATGGAATATAATGTAAATAAGTGTGAAGTTACTCATTTTGATACAAAACAAAAACAAGAAGGCTGAATACTTCTTAAATGGTAAAATGTTGGGAAATGCAGATGTCCAAAAGGACCTGCATGTCTTTGTCCACAAGTCACCAAAAGCTAGCATGAGGTGCTGCAAGTAATTAGAATGGCAAACAATGCAATGGCATTCATTTTGAGGGGATTTGAACACAGAAATAAAGATCTCTTCCTGCAGTTGTATAGTGCCTTGGTGAAAACTCACTTGGTGTTTGTGTACAGTTTTAGTCTCCTTAACTAAGGAAAGATATACTTGTCATGGAGGGCACTCAATGGATGTCTGCCAGATTAACGAGGAGAGTTTGAGGAAACTTGGTCTGTATCATCTACAGTTTTGAAGAATGCAAGGTTTTCCAATTCAAATAGCGTTAGATGGGGTGGATATAGATAGGATGGTTTTCTTGGCTGGTGACTCTAGAACCACAAAACATAATTTCAGGATGAAGAGTCAACCATTTAAGACTGGAGCGAGGAGGGATTTCTTCACTCAGAGGGTGATGAATCTTGGGCATTCTTTGTCCCATAGGGCTGTGGAAGTTTAACCATTGAGCATGTTCAAGTCAGAAATCAATAGGTTTCTGGAGACTAATGACATTAAAGTTATTAGAGATAATACAGGAAAATGACAATGTGGAGCAGATCATCATGAACTAGAATGATGGGCGAGGTTCAATGGGCTCAATGGCCTA